TCATTTTCGTCGTGTACTTCTTAATGTATAAGAAGTATTAATTTTCGTTTTGGTACCTACTAAATGTAACAAATGTACAGTGCACACCGATAAATAATGTTGTCCAGTGAAATTGAACAGACGATAGGTAGATATTTCCATTAGGTAGTGATAGAATAATTTTTCATTTAATACTCAAGGTTATTGAATTGAACGTTAGTAATGAGTACTATCAATTTTAAAAATTTGACCCATTAATATATTTATACGAAACAATAAATAATAGGTCCTAAGAATTTTTTCAAGTTTATTATGGCAGTGTTATTTTTAAATTTTGTTTTTAAAATACATCATGGTAGTAGAACCTATTGTTGTACAAACATATATTGTATACTAAACGTAATACTAACCTACAATTCACATTTTTGTGACTTACGTCTTATAATAAAAGTATAGTTATTTAAATATACCAAATAATTTAATAATTTAAAATTGTATTGAGAAGTCGAAGAAGAATTATTAAAAAAATATACTTTTAAAGACAGCTGCAGAAATTACCCTTTCTCGCCCGATTCTACTGTTCAAACTTAATTATTATAAAAAATAGTCATTTTAAGTACCTATTTGGTTTCAAAAAAATAACTTAACCTCAAATCTGAAACTTCAAGTTATTCATTAAATACACGCATAGATGAAATGTATCCTAACTATAGAGACGGGAGGAAATTATGAAACATATACACACAATTATAGACCTCAAAAAAAAACATTTTTAAATTCTTAAACATAACTAAAATTGTTTCAATATCTGTTTATGACTTTTTACAACTAGAATTGATATTATACACCATTAAATAGGAAAATAATATGGTAGGTATTACAATTTTTAAAATAATAAATTGAGTGAGAAACTCAAATTTACTTTTTATGTGAGTTCAATCATTTTAGTTAGTCATACTCGCAAATAAATATAGTTTTGATAGATTTTAAACTGTTTTCGTCTAACACAAAATCACCAATTTTATGAAATTAAAATTTTCAGCTTGATATAATGTCATCTAGTATTTACATTATTTGTTTAAATAGGTAAAATTATATGCATATAAGCATGCTTGTTTCATTTAGGTGGTATATTGTGACTCCTCCACCTTACCCCCTGACACCGTCTGACCATCATCTTGTCAATAAATTGAAGGAGTTTATGGGTGGACAAAGTATGGGTGGACAGTTTAAATGACGAGGAGGTCCAGGATGCGGTCGAAAAGTGGCCTCGGGAGGTGGAGCGGAAGGTGTACGACGAGGGTATACAAAAACTCCTCCCTAGGCTTCCAAAATGTATTGACCTCAATTATGTAGAGAAATAATGACATATTTTGACACTTGTCTAGTAAATTTCATTTTAAATATATTCATTTTTCAATTTCTAACACAATATGTTGTAATCTTACTTTCTGGACGAACTCGTATTTACCACAAAACATGCGATCTTTAGGTCCATAGAAAATATTCAACAACATGCATCTATAGACTTCAAAAATTCAAAACAAAAAATTTAAAATTAGTATCAATATGAGATGGTTAGTGAACGTTTCTAAGCAAATTTGTAAAACCGTGCTACAAGAAAAACATTCCGATGCATATAAATTCCATAGTTCTAAATCCTATTTATGATCAAATTAATTGATTTTTACGGCGTAACTAATAACGTTTCTGGTTAAAAACTGAGTAAAATAAAAATAAAATCCTTTATGTTTTTAGAATTAAAACGATTGTTTTCCACTTGAAAATCTAAATTTGATATGGTTTTAACAAACAAGGAAAAATGATAAAAAAATATTATAATTAGAAAATAAATATATTATAGTTTGTTGTTAAAAGTTTCCATGAAACAAAAACAACTAATGTTTTTCAAGTTCGTTTTAAGAAAATAACCTTGTATTTAAATTTTTTTTGTTTTATAATTTATTTTAAGTTAGTTGGGAAAAAATACTTTGAAAACTCGGATTAAACAATACTTATAGATATATTTGTGATTAAATATTTATAACGCTTTTTTTATTTGTAAACGATACATCATAATCTAACTTTTTTAATTTCGGCTTATTGAAAAAAAAACATTGTATGGAGGAAGAAAGTTCTCACCAAAAAAAATAAATAAACTTCCTAGGACGACAGGATTATATGAACTCTAGCCAATGATATCAAAATGTATTTTGATTTTTATTATTACATTAATTGGTATAAACTCTTTTTTTTCGAGTTACAAATATACAAAATTACCTAATAAAATTTAACTTTACCGAATTCGTATCTAAGTATAACAATATTTTTAAAACAACAATCATAAAGATTTTTAATTAAAATCTTCAAAAAACTATAATTTTTTAATTACTTTATCTTAATATCTAAACCATTGATGTGTGTAAATAGATATAGGGACGTAAACAGCCGAGATACAGCAAGATTGGGTTAGGATATTAATTCATAGCATTCAAAAAACAATTAAGGGTGGATTTTACCAACTACATTACGCTTGCTAATATTTCTTTAAATTTGTTCCACAGTTGTCGGTAGTTTTACCTTGCGCTCAGAAAAACTTTTGACACAATTTAAAAAGGGCCTCATTAAAGTACCATCTAGATAAGACTCCCAGTAAAGAAATGTGTCATTTTTGGTGCATTACCTACGTCTGAAGGAAAAACTATTTACAAAACAAGATAACCAAAAAAACATTGTAAGTATTTACTTAACACTAATACGTTTATCGATGAACTGAGAACCTAGAATTTATTGAATATGTGTACAGACTTATTATAGTGTTTCGTGATATAAAATCTAAAACCAATATACCACTATAATGCAATTTATATAATATTATGACCAACCACCTGAATTAAAATGTAAACTTTTGTGAAAAACTATCAGTCATCTAGATATTTTATTAGGCGATGTACATATTTTGGACAAAGTAATGGTGTTGAAAATTATAATGTTAATGCATAATATTATATTACAACAAACAAAGATAAACTTTATCATTATTATTTATTTCTCTATAAATTAAGTGAACTATAAAATATATAAAAATAAAAAAAATATATACACTTTTTCTAAAATAAGTTTTATTATATCATTTTCTAGCGAGTCTAATCGACATAATATATTATCACATACAATTAAAGTTACAAACAATAAAAATAAAAATATCTCTAAAAATCAATAATAAAGTATTTAATATTGATAAATATTAACTAAAAATATTGTTCATGATAAAAAGGTTAGATTGGCGTTCAATGAGGACCGTTAACTATGTGTCGATCGACAGTCCAATATGTGAGTTTTATATTCATGGCTGCATATAATTTAAATAACGTTTAGATCATTAAATCATAATAACCATAAAATTATATAATTATTATATTATGTTTGCTCAACGACACAGTGCTCGCAGCACAAAAATAGTGCATTTTCACTACGCTCTGATTTAATATAACTACCCATATAAATTATGAGTATTTAGTATTTAGATAATATGTAAATTATGTATGTGGTGTATTGGTATGCAATCACAGATTTTTATATTTTGTAATAACTTGCTTAAAAAAGAACTAAATGCTGATAATAAGAATTATGTATTATTATTATACACTACATTGTATACAGACCTAATTTTTCCGATTTCCAGACAATCAAATTTGGTTGCTTCACAGTATACAATACACACGTTTAGTTTTATTGATTAAAATAGATTTGTTTCATAATGTATATGATATTTAGTATTATAATTTAAAATTGATGGAAAAATTGAAATTTTTTATTTAATTTTGAATACTGTCATTGTTTGAAATTAATGAAAACAGTTTTAGTCGAATTAGTGAATTCGTCATCTCAAAATACATGTCTAACACAAAAAAATAATTACATATTTAAAAACTGTTTTCACACGCTTTGAGAACAATGGTTTTGTAATGAATCGGCGTAAAACTACAAATTAAATTTGAAAATATTTATTGATATTAATATATTGATATTAGGATACTAGTTCGATATAAAATATCGTTAAAAACAAAAAATCAAGACTATTTAATTTTTTTTGTGCAACAAAAACTTTTAGCCTAGGTTAACGACCATGAGTGTTTACACAAGCAATATGAAAAAAAACAAAGAAAAATGCGAAACAGCCAAAGTGCTTGTATAAATATTATAGGTACCTGTACCTACGACACGCTCGTTCCGGTCCAACGTCGTCGAATTAGTTCCGTTTCGCGGAGGAAAATAATTAATTACCTAACGCCGAAATCGGGATGATAACATTTATACACATTTTACGTCGTATTTGCAGTCTTAAAAAATAAAAGCAAACGAGGAGTGATGTAACAATTTTATTTCGTTCCTCAAGACGTATATAATACTTTTATAATAATATTATAATATTATACAAACAGGATGTCGCTTCGCGTCTGTTCGCGTCAATAACTTCTCTGTCCTGATTGATATTTTTGAAATATGAATAATAATGATGTCGGAAAATGATTACCACACAGCAGTATTATTATAGAAGTAACCACAATATAATTATTGTTCCTAGTATTATACGTCCTTCGGGCCCTAAGTAGAATTAAAACGAAAACAAAAAATTCAAACCGTTATGTTTTCGTCGTGTCTGTTATAAAATCTGAGATCCACGCAGCTAATGTAATAGAGTTGACTTTAGTTAGTAATTTCAGAAGTTGAATCCGTTAATTCCATTAAGTTTACTCAAATAGTTAGCGTAATAATAATAAATTATAGTCATGTAGACACCTTATAATGGTAGCTGAAGACTATGGCGGTCGTACCATTGTGGATTGGGTGACCGAATTTTTTTCTCGCCGTGTGCCAGCGAGCACGCCTCGTCGCACAGTAAAAATGTGGTAAATTTTAAATCGTTTCGACAGGACCCACCCGGACGGACCTCGCAGACGTTTGTACAGTATGCACTTTAATCGGAAAATTTACCAAACCTGTTGCACAACCGTTCGTTAGCGCACGGCCACCACCTGACCGTATCCTTGCGACACGACCCGACTCGTACCTCGGTCGTCCTTTTGCTCCCTTTTCGTCGTCCGTCTGATTGGTTTTTGGGTGGATCGCTGCTGCTGTTGCTGAGGCTGCTGCTGCTGTCGCTTCTTCTTCTTACTCTGCTTTCGAAGTTCTTGGCCGTTGTTCTTGTGACCGCCGCCGTGATTTGACTTGTTCTTAGCGGGTTTCTTCTTTCCGTGGTCCACGTGTTCCTCGTCGAAGAACTGCTGCTTCTTGGAGTACTCATTTTTCTTGTGTATCTTGTGCTTGACCGGCCCTTCCCCACTGGCCACGACGTGGTGCTTGTTTTTTCGTCCGACCTCTTCCCGGCGTGGTTTTTTGGCGGACGCTCCCTCACGCACGTCACCCGTATTCGAAGACCCTACCGGCTCCGCGTCACCTCCTCCGCCGCCACCGTCATTAATGTAATCGTCGTCGCGTGCCGGCAACTTCCTGTCACTCTTGGGCTTGTTCCTATTCATTCTCTTATTCTGTTGGTGACCTCTCGGCGGCCGATCGTCGTGCGATTGCCTATTGTTACCGCCTCCGCCGTCGTCGATAAACTCTACGTCGTCTCCCGGCGGAAGTCTCTCGGTCTCCGGCACCCTGGAAACTTTTCCGCTCTTCCGCGGCGGGTTCCTCATGTACTCGTACGTGTTCGGAGACTCGTACAGAGCGTGACTCCCTTCGTCCCGGACCGGGCGAATCACGCCCCTGACGGCCGACTCCGGCATGGTCCTGTGCCCGTAACTTCCGTACGTGGTGGCGGCCGCTGTCGGCGATCTCCCGCCGTAATGTCCGGTCGGCCCGACGCCGCCGTAACTTCTGGATTGACCGCCACTGCCGCCGTAATATCCGGTTTGTTGACCGCCACTGCCGCCGTAATATCCGGGTTGATGACCGCCGCTGCCCCGCCGTAGTATCCGGCTTTTCCACCGGCGCCCCCGCCGTAGTATCCGGATTGACCACCTGCACCGACGCCTGCACCGTCATAATACGTCCCGGACCGACCGCCGACGTCTCCTTCGTCGTAATATCCGTTCGGATCGGCGACGCTGGGTATGGCCGTGGTAAGGTAAACGATCGGTGCCACGGTCCTGGAGTCCAGCCTGTCCGACAGGTACAACAGAGTTATGCCGCAGCACACTAGCAACGACGACCGCTTCATAATGGTTAAACAGTGGCGACGGCGGGTGCGATACGACTGTACGAAAACAATGACATCCGACTGCGGATATAGAAACCGCGAGACTACGCGTGTAGAACAGTTACGCTTTCGCGTGGCGACGCCGTCAGTGGCGGCGGTAATGTAACTGCACGTTCTCTTCTATATCCCTCGCCACTCGCCAGCCATTGCGATATTGTTCCATTGTATAGGTACCTAACAAATATATATGATGCATGTGTAGAAATATCATGATGTTTGCCATAACTATACAGGGTGAACACCACCGCAAGCACGCTCAAGAGCGTTTTTTTTTTTTAAATTTTTTATTGAATTTATTAGAATTCTGATTTTTGGAATTTTTAAATATAGGTTCCTAGTCGAATACGATTTTTTAAGATTTTTCTGTAATACTCAACAAATCCTCCTGTTACGATATAAACTTCAGTTCTTCAAATGAGAAGCCCCTCTTCTTTTTTGCACTAGTAGCTTGTTACTGATTAAAATGTTTTTACCAAGATTAGTTCCTAGTAGCTAAACATATTGTCTTACAAAAATATAAATATGTGTTAATTATAATCGGACTATTTTACAAAATATGTTACTAAACCGTGGACCCATTTATATTGTCCTTAGAACTCAAAGTTAAATAACTCAAAAACTACCCGTTTGAAATTTGACTTTAGTACATCAACATATTTCCTTAACAATTATCCAATAAATTATCAACAGTACAAAAGGCGGGTTCTCGTTTGAAAATCAGAGGTTTGTATCTTCACAGGACCCTTCTTCAGCAGTACCAAAAAATCTCAAAAATTTGAAAACATTTCCTCAAAGTAAATAAAAAAATTCCAAAAACCAGATATCGGATGTTCGTATTAAATATGGGGTTAGCATATTGTAGGTGAACTACCCGGTATACACAGTTTAACAAAAACTAATGACGGTTAGATATTATAACTAACCAACTGCTTGATAACTTTTGTGTAAATAAATATTATTATTATTATTATTATTATTAATACGCATAAGTCATTTTTTAGTATATTTTTTGGAACATGATTTGATACACATAGGTAGTTCATGTAATTCGTCAGTAAATTCTGCTGTACCCTGTACATGCAGTGTATTATGATATTAAACGCTATATAGACAGTTTGTGGTTTTTCACGGTGCGCTTATTTTGCACGGCTGTCAGCATATCCGGCCGTATTATATTATTATTATTGATATAGATAATGAGATTGCCAATCGCCGATAATATGGCGATATATTTAAAAACGCGATATTACCACAGACTATATACGAACTATATGACTATTTTCATATAGTCTGTGATATTACGGTCGTGGGTTTCGAAAGGACAAGCCGTGGATTGTGCTGCGGCCGGTATTCGCCTGTAACAATAATATTATGCTCCATATAGGAGTAGGAATTCTATTGTTACTATATAGGTAGGTACCTAAATTTATTGTATAAATTGAATTTTTTTTTTCTCAATTACCTATACCTATGTGTTTTTGTGAGTTATTTTTATTTATTTATTAATATTTTTAAGGACAATGTTCAATTTACAATATAGAATAACGATAACAATAATAGTATAATAGTATTTGACAATTAACACATTTTAAAATAATAAAATACAAGTAATACAATTATTTATACAATGAATAAAATAATAATAAAAATTAATGATAACATAGCTGGTATATAACATAAAAAGTGGGATACAGAGTGGATAGTTAAGTGATACAAAATAATGTTCTATATAGATACATATAGTGTAAATGAAGGGTGTGGGGAAAAAACAGAAAATTCGCTTTTTATCATTCCGAAGAAAACGTGTTTTTAATTCCTATAACTATGCGAGTATTCCCTGTATGCCAAAACTTCCGGCGGTCATATAGCTCTCGACTAATCTGCTTTTTTCCCAGATTTGACCTCTTGAAAGATAGAATACCTCAATACAAATAATTTGATAGCGAAATCGGCATTTTGGAAAAAAAGTGACTTCTCTGGTTTTTTCCCTGTACCCTTCATATGATTATCATAAATGTTGTGTCTTGTAATGAAATATGAAATTTTAAACGGGAGCTATAACATTATTGTAAAAAAAAAAACAACTCCGAATCACCATAAATCTATTTTTGGTAAATTCACTTCAATTATACCTATTTATCCAATCATGGCATGGTAAATAAATTTACATGATCAAATCTCAAAACAATTTATTCTAGCCGTTAATCTGTAATAGTACTGCAATAATTACCTAATAGTCTATGGGATATTTGCTATTATTGAAATTCATATTATAATATAATTTATTTATATGAATAAATAATTATAATAATGTACTAATTATCAAACAATTGTGTGACTTAAAAACTCCGAAAAAAACATTACAAACTCAGTTTGTGTAGATTTATACCAACATGAAAATGCATATTCAATAAAAAAAAAAAATAGTCAATAATACATTTATATTCATACAAGTTTACGGACCACATGATTATGCGATCATTATAAGTGATACTCTTCTGATTTTAAAATCACTTCAATTGTTAAAAATAATAGTAATATAACCTGATAATGTAAAATTGTAATACAATAATATCAATTTGAATTGCTGAAACTATATAATGTTTCTCTTTTTCATACTCCTTTAAAAATGTATACAAATACAATTTTAACAACGCATCTATAATTGTTACAGGCAAAACCACCCACAATGTCAGTTTTCGGCGGTGATAGTGGTCGTACACAGCTCCAAATTTGATGCAGGAGGGGGGTGGCATTAAGGACATATTCCCCAGCCTCCCTCAGATTTTAAGGAGCCCAATAGACCCAAAGTATAAAAAATGTTAATGTGATTCCTGCATCTATAAGTATAGATACTTCTATTATAATATGTTATAATAGTTTTTAAAAATAAAAAGGTTATTTTAGGAAATTTATAGTATACAATATTATTATAATATTATCGCAATGACGTTAAGTGAATAACACACATTTTAAGGACTCAAAGTTAAAAATAAAATTTCTGAGAACTATACTCGTACAGTCGTACAATGCATAAGATCGTTTACATTTTGTAATTTGTATTGGTTACGAGCATTGAAACTTATGTGGGTATTGAACAGTTTGTCATTTGATGATATTGTAGAAGAGCAAACATCAAGGAAAGTTCCTAATTTGAAAATGTTGATATAATATATATTTATATTCGTTTTTAATCAAATATCGGTTTTCAGCTTTAGATTATTTTATATAAATATACGTATAACCAGGGCTTGAACCGATATTTGATACCTACCGATTTTGAATACCTACCGGTTAAAACCTTTAAGACCCGCAATCGCTATTATAAAATCGAAAACAAAATCGAAAAAATCCAGTACCCGATGTAATCAAATCCGAGATCGAAATAGGAAAAATTCAAAACAGGTATTCAAAACTAAAACCGAAATCAAAAAATAAATAAATTCCGATAACCGAAACCGAAATCAAAATATATTTTCGGTTTCAAGCCCTGGTAATTATAATAATATAATAATATTATGAAAGACTTGAAACCGATATTGGATACCGATTTTGACTACCGATTGAAACCAAAATCGATAACGAGACTGCGAAAATAAAGAATAAAAACAAAATCAAAAAAAAAAACAATGCACGTACTTAAAATCGAAAAACATATAAAAACCGATATCGGAAACCGAAATCAAAATCGGAAAAAATAAATACCGGTAACCGAAATCGAAATCGGAAAAAATATTTACGGTTTCAAGCCTTGCGCGTATAACTACATTTATAGGTGAGACACTAATACATGAATTTACAACATGAAACATAAATAATATTTATTTATAATAAAAACTAAAAATATATTTTGCACACGGTGAGTATGCAATTTTTATTATGGACCACCAGGGGGCCCCAAAATCTTCTTTGACCTTGGCCTCTTAAAGTTTAAATTCTGTCCTATGACCCATACGTGGAAATGAAGTCTTGAGAGGACTTAGTCGTCCAATATAACTCAAAGAAGAGAGATTAGCTAGGTAGGTACATATTTCAATATGAATAGTTGTTCAAACCTCAAAACGTTATCGACATAATTATAATTTCATTATTTTGTATCGATCAAATTTAAAAAAGGACCATTTTAGATTAAAAAAAAAAAACTAAAAAGGTGCAATCTGATGACGTTGGGAAAAAAATCAAATCGTCAGTGGCTTTTACAATTGAATTAATTGTGATCGACGTTGATCGTAACAAAATTAATGGTGTCGGTATCACGAGCTTGGTAAAATTAAAAGATGCGAACCAATGGCGTTAATCGTGAGATTTTAAATCCCGATTTTATTGTATATTAGACAGTTTATTAAAAGTAAAAATATTAATGACGGGCCCACCGCCAATAACGGTTTCGTGAACAAAAATATTGTAAAATTCAAAAGTGTCTAAATAAATTAATAATATCGACTCTTAATAGGTATTTGTATAATGTATATGTATATATTAAATTTTAAAGGTAATTAAACGGCGAACGGTTTATTTGTTCAACGTTACTTATTCGACCATTTTGTAAATCTTATCATTGCTTTGGCATCATGAGAATTCGAATATTAATAGAAAATCGTAATTTATTGCACAGTTAAAATTAATACTCGGATGAAATAAATACCAAATAAATCTTCACCGGTACCTATCACAGACGGCCAAAAAGAGAAACAACTTTGATAAAATAATGAATTTTTTCATTTAAAACCCTAATGTCGTAAGTTGTTTTATTTATTTTTCAAAAAAACAGGGGCTCGAGAAAATATATTATACCATATCATAATATCAAATGAATTTAATGTAATACTAAACTAATAATTGTTTTAAGAAATTAATTATTTTTGGACTTTGAACGTATAATAACCTTAATTATACTAAGCAATAAAATATGCCATTGGACAGAAAACTGTTTACGGATTAGTAATAAAAATAGTTTTAAAAACATATAAAAAAACTATTTATATTTTATATAATAATATAAAGTATTTGAAATAAAGTTTGTGTTTGCGTATTGATCAAAAACCTTTCAAAAAGTTTGAATTTTAACTAGTTCTGCCAAATCTCAAATATATTACACTGAAATACATATTATTGTATTCATCAATCAATAATTAACTCCATTCAGTATTTTTTTTTTTTTTTTTAGTAGCGTAGCATGATTTGAAAACTTCTATCACGAGGCAGAATTGAGTGGTATATTGTTATATGTGTACAATAGGTATTACAATGCAAATAGACAAGTCCCACTGATGCAAGAATTATAAGGTTTCAACAATAATAATAATAATTATTATTAGTCATAGAGAAGATAATAGAAAATAATAGTACAATGGTTTTATGATGGATTTTTTTCCATCACCTACAAAACAGATCAAACTATTCCCAAAGTTTATATTTAAAGTTTTATAAACGTCATAGCATCGAGTTAGGTACCAAGACATAATAATATTATGTATATTATAATTAGGTTATCGTAGAAGTTGTTTACTGAGGTTCTAGAATATATTTTTTTTACATCTCTCGATGTGTATTATACATAAATGTTTTACTAGGTAGCCTAATTTTATACAAAGGTTGAGAATTTGTTTTTCCTTCCATATTATTCTTTTAAAGTGGAGTATGTCAAGACGAAAACGAATATTATGTTTAAATTGGCACGAACCAGACTTGTCCAGAACTTACTCTGCACGGATTCTGCAGAATTATTTTTCAATGTTAATCGTGTAAAGAACATAATAGTATTATATCTTATTAGTTCGTTTTGTATTTGAGAATATCTTATGCATTTTATTAAAAACATATTTCACAATGTTTAAGCACATATTATAAATATTATATAAATCCGAATGATATGGACAGATTTTTTGAATGATTTATTATTAATAGTATCGATATTTTAAACTTTTAATTCGTTTTGGTTAAATATTGACAAAAACAATTATTTACGATTAATTTGTATAACAACATAATATTTATAAATATGCAAGTACTATTTTGTAAGTAGTTGTTTCTATTACATAAAATCCATTGTTAGTTAAAAGAATTAAATAATATACTATAGTATATTATAAGTATGAGTACTTATATAATAATGGGATAACAAGAGATTATTAAAAAAAAAAAAACCCATAATAGTGTATTATTAGAATCCGACCAAACTTAAATTGCAGTGACTATCGATTTTTTTATCATCAACATCGCTATTCTACGCATTCAATTTTTATTATTATCATTACTTTTATTATTTCTGAACACTACCAAGCTAGAATTTTATAGAATACTTTTTTCTACACATGCTTCACGTATATTACAGTAAGTTGTATATTATATTATAGGTTTGTTAAATCACTTTTACGTAATTTTCGAACTCTCGAGGTAGGAATTAAACAAAAAAAAAAATAATAATAATAGTAAAATTACATTTGAATGGGTGCACCCCATTAAGTTACAGATTTTGTAAAAGAAAATAAAACTGACCAATAATTAAATTGAATAATTTATTAAAATATTACAAGTAACAGAGAAATAACTTTAGTTGTATGTGCTGCAATGTAAACTATAGATAATATTTCTATATAGTATAACATTATTAAATTTCATACCTCAATAGTTTTATAGTTATGGTTCTATAGTTTATAATATTCATTATTTAGGTTCATATATATTATTATTTTTTAAAAGAAATATTTTATTTTTGTTCTACTTGTCACTGAATGATGCCACTTTTTGCACATTTCAAACTCTCAATGTGATCTGCGATCACATGGTACAATTGGGCAAAAAAAATTGATTAGTATCTTTAGAAGAAAAAAATTACCATTCTTTTTCTGTACAATTAGTGACAAACTTAAATTTAGACCTATTTTCTATACAACATAAATTTTCGATAGTTGTTTACATACAATTATTTAAATGTCCAAATAAAATATGCCTCAACTACAATGCTGCAACTAAAACAGATGGTCGCAATATATCACTTGTTCTTAAACACTTTCGGTTTGTTTGATAATTAACGCACAATTTTTTTTTGTCAACGCAACTATACTACGGCGAATTATAATAAGTTAATGGGCTCTATAATTATAATTTATTTTTATAACATTTTACTAAGCTTAATTTATTATAATAGTGAAAATATTAAACTATTGTCTTTAGATGCACCATTTGTCGGATAAACTTTACCTGAATAGGTTGCTTCAATTTTCAATAGGTATAACTCTTATACCGAACCAACTAGGATTAATATATTATGATCACAACTTAATCAAAATTGTTTTCATAGAGTAGTTTGTGTTAAACAACATTATGTCAAACGTGTTCAACCGGAATTCAAAGCTAATCTGAGATTAAATGTTTCGACCAGAACAGTCAATATTAATAATAATATCGATCCTAGTTTTAGTTACTAAAAATATGTGATCGATTCAATAGTGTACATATTTTATATTACTCATTTAAAGCATAGGTATTATATTTATGCGTCATATTATAATATATTTTAAAAAAATATGGTAATGACTGTGAATCTAGTTATTCCAAACAATAAAAAATATGTTCTGATTTTAATTTGATTAATATTTGGAAAATAAATTGTTTGGATTAATATTTTATTTTAGTTTAGGTTCCTGTTTTTTGATTTTTAACGTTCAGAGCTGATTACATAAAATGTTAACTACAATGTATTGTTTTTTTTTTTTTAACATAAAACAAAATGCAACAAAATTATTTACTATTAAAAATATCGAATGTCTTGTCTATAAGTTTTTAAATATAATATGATAAAGTATCATTAAAAATGAGTACATGTAAGGTAGAATAAAAATATCCAGGTTAACCAATTATAAGTATATTTTATAATAAAATTATAAATTTAAGATAATTTTTAATTGCATATCTGCATTTAACTGCGTGTCTTACATTTTGCTCATTTGCATGGTACCCAAATTATTTATATAATATATTACGTACACAGAAAAATCGTGTCGTATAATGTATTTTATAAAAATAAACATTAAATTATTATTTTTTAATATAGCAACATTAGATTTGAAAATATAATTGTGAATAAAAGTAAATAAATAAATATCCTTATCAATATATTAAAATATATAACTATACACGAGTTTCGTAATAAGTAGTCCATTGCCGCTATGGTTAAAATAGAAATTATAAACAATTTATTTGTACTAAAAAATGTATAAATATAATTGTCTGTTTATTTTGTATTGTAGGTGTTATTTCATTACATTTTCTCTCTTATGTATAAATAAAATAATAAAACAATTATTAATCGATCTAGCCTTCTTACACGAATAATGTACACACATGTATGATTTTTTTCCGTGTCAGATAGCTTTCCAATGGGCAAATATGATAATAATAATAATAATAATCATATAATATTATCCTTGAAAAGTGTATTTTATGTGCACCAATGCTAAAACTGTTACAAATTAACGATACTAAATAATAAAAAAAAAACTAAAGGTAAAGCTCGAAAAACATATGATAAAAATTATACGAGTAGGCCGCAGCAGTGAAAATCATTATAATATTATTATCCATCGCTGTTAATGTGAATGCCGAATGATTATAATTTTGCAAATATGTTATAATATACTTTTTACAGTCTCTAAAAAGATGTTAAACCCGAAGGGAGGAGTAAAGGGCCGAAGTGTGTAGCGTGGGTACGGGGTTTGAAAATAAAAACACTGTCGGCGTAGAAGAGATGTGATGTCATTGGTCCTGACGTCACGGAGGGGAGGCAGATTTCGATATAAAGGGAGAGTATCACCCCTCGAGTCTGTCCGACGAGAACTAACTGGCCACTTTGAAAAGTTGTTGTTAACCGACGACTCTATCCTAAACACATACCACAGCAACACGGTGGTAGTTTTTACACCGCTCCAGCTCCGAGATTATACTACACAGGTAATACACTTATACTATTATACAGTACTATTATTATTATATTTTATTTTTCGATATAATATCAGTATGATAATATATTTATCGATTTAGATTTAATATTTAATTCATTTAGTAGTATTCTAAATATGACGTACGAATTTAATACTTATTGAATGAAAATAAAAATAATTTATCCATCTATATTATTATGATATTTTGTCTTATTTTTTACGGTACCTACGTAAATTAATAATTTTAAAATTCCTATCGATAAAATTCACTAAAAGTTTCGTATACATTATCAATTTTTTTTTTTAATATTTAAAAAAATTTTAAATGTCTTATTCAATGTATAATTTAAACATTTAAGTCATTGCTAAGAAAACAATATTTTATTTTTAAATAAATTAACTAGTCGCAGTAATGTTACAAAAATAAAATACTTGTACTTGATATATTATTACATTTTAAATAATAACATAGTGTCACGTAATTTTTTAAAAGTAAAATTAATGCATTTTAAATATTATATTATATAGGTAGGTGCTCCATAGACAATGTTTGTTTTAAATTTTACTGTACACGTATCGTGTAGTTGTGCTATAGGCATTTTAAGTGTAAATTTTAGCAATCTTTTAGTTCTTTGAGAAGGTTAAGCTTATAAACTTTTATTTCATTTTGTTATCTTACGTACCTACCTAGTTATACAAAACAAATCATACTTTCGACAAAATTTAAAATCACTATTTTTATCAACCAACTTTGTCCTAATACTTGTGTATTGTAGAAGCGCACCATTAAAACTTTCTATAGAGGCTTAAAATAAAGTTAAGCACAATAACTTTCAAGATTTTAAGTGATAATATTATGTACTTCGCAGTCACGCAATACCTGCATAAGATAATGGAAATATTGTTTTGACTGTCATGTCCACTTATGAAAGATGTATAATATAAATAAATAAATGAAATAAATCGTCAATATAGGTACAATAAATTAATGATTTTTATTCCACTCTGTTTTTAAAGTGTTGCCATTTCCGTAGAGTGTGCGTACCATCTATACTCGGAGCGTTTTACGAGTGTAAAAAAAATAAATATATTTTGGGAAAATAATATATTTATTTTTATTTTGGTTTGTTTGATCATTTTTTTTTTTCAAACAAACACGTCATGCTAGCATGTACCTACGTGAATATGCATTTGTTTGATGATTCGTATAGGTTATGGATACATGATATACATATCATTTATTTACCGAACGAATACGGTTCGACACCAAGTCCGTTCCACACTTCCCTCGTGTTCCCTCTGTGTAGAGCCCCCGAGGCTGAGTTTTATTAATGAGTCCATTTTTAAAAGTGAAGTGTCTTTAATGACCTCATGAGTGGTGACGGAGTTAAGGATCACCTACACTCTAGAGGGAGGTTTGCTAACGACAACACTATCCGATTTCGCTGAATCACCGTCAGAATATACGTTTGTATGTGGTTTTGTATGTGATTTACAATAATGTGACGACTCACTCTCATTTTATCCTTTATAACTACTACGCGTGTACACCAATTTTGATTTTTTGAATTTTTTTTTAAGTCTACTAAACGACCATAATATTTTCATGAACTCTATTATGCCATTTACCGAGTGACCAGCCGTCCAGCTGTTGCCGTGCATTTTTTTCTCAAATGAGAACCACCCTTTTTACTGCTGCACATCGTTAAGCAAAAGATTTTTTCAAAAACCATTAGGCACCTATGCGCGTCTGAATCAAAATTGGAGCGAGCGGTTTTAAACTTCATGTAAGTATACCGAGGATAAAATTCCACGATAGTGAGGTTTAAAATACACCTACACACTCACACTCCCTACACGCTCCCCCTTATGCAATAATGAGATGTATTTGAAACTTCCAAAAATCAGAATTTGAATGCTCAATTTAATGACGAGATCTGGGCGAGCGCGTGATTGCCCTGAATCACCCTGTATATAGAGTAATATCCACTGCGGGGTGTGGATAACGGCGGCGGAAATAATATTATTTAATCAAGACGTATAAATCGTGTGCATACTTTGTATTCCTCCGGTCCGGGCGCACTGCAGTGCCTAGGTGTAGCTGGTATTATAAATAATATTATTGTTGTTGTAATAATTATCATATCTCTCTGGGGCCGCGGTGTGGTTAAGTGCAGCCGATAAATCCAACGTTTATTTCACTCTTCGGCTATGTGCACGACGATCAATTAAAATAATATCCCGGGCTAATACCAACGCCGCCGCCGCCGTCCCACAGCCGATAATGGACCGTCGTCGTGTTGTTATCGCAGGTGGTTTTATCTTTTATATAGGTACACGAAGTGTATATATTACTACGCGTGTTGTGTGTGGGTGTGGGTGGGTGGCTGGGTGTCGGGTATACCACATCCCGTGATATATTAAAATTATGTTAATAGGCGACGCGTGTATACCTACCTATTATAATATTATTATTATTATTACTATTGCATAATATTACAAATGATTTTTATAATTCTCAGCGCCTCATACGGCCGTCGGATTTTAAAATAAATAAATATTAGATGCGCGCTGTTGAATTAAAATAATGGGTTATTCGCATACCATCTATATTTAAACAATAATTTAAGGGACCTATTGTAACACGCGGGTCACACAAGTACTCAACCTTCAGAAAGTTTGTAGATCTCGCCTCTCTTTTTCACGAGTACGGCATATTCGGTTAGAATGTGTACCATAATATATAGAAGTACTACCCTGGTAGTTGACGTCACAGAAGTTTCTTCTTTTTCACGAGGCGTTGGTGTGTAGCTTAACCGATTCGGGGTTTGCTGACGGTTGTTTCCTAGAAATACCTACCCGGTGCAGATAAGTTTAATTTTAATTGATTAAATTTTTTTTTACAATTTAACAATATTAATACTTACAGCAAAAATTAAATATTTGGAAAAGTCCACGTCATGACGTTAACAATTTCTTATTATTTCATAGTGTGCAGTGTGAGTGTGTATTTGTGTGGAATCTACCATAACGTTCACCGAAAAGTATATACGAACATTTTCCGAAATATATCATCAGATTATTAAAATGAATATAGATATTAATTATACACAGAACGTCTGAACTCATGCCTATTACGGTTCGGTACATAATATATTGTACGCTCTACAATGTATACTATTTAAACTCAATGCTATATTGTAATTTATTATTATATTCGACGAGATTAAAATATACCTATGTTGCCGACGGCCGTCTGAAACACTTGAACGAAACGGCGTCCAAAACGAAAGGTTATATTTTAATCTGCATAATAATAATAATAATTATAATATGGTCCGCGTGCTTTTTTTCCTATTATTAATTATTCGCAACGCATACCGCGGTAATCGGCCGCCTCCACCTCCATCAAAAACGGCAAACGAGAGTTTTTACCGATTTTTCCGATTTCCGATTCGAACGCCGAATGTTTTCACGTGAAAAACGTTTCGTGTAGGTGCACGGCGCGCGGAGTGACTCCGTGGGACGGAATCAAAAGCCCCGTTTATTTTTTTTTTTATTTATTTATTTATACGGACAAAAGTCCAATTCACAATATATTTGTATGGATAACAATAATATAATATAATTTAAAATAATAAAATATAACATAATAAAAGATGAAACGATTAATATATAGAATAATAGTAATAATAATTAATAATAATAATAATAATAATAATAATAATAATAATATCAATTTTAATTTGTTTTATTTCGAATCGTTTCTCTGGAGAACAGATCCTATATTGTAACCTTGTACAGATTGACATTAACAAATATTTATTTTTATTATCGACCATTGTTTGTTGGTATTGTGACATTTTATACTTAATGAAACTCATAAATACTTTGTACAAAGAGTATTCGACATTCGTATGATTTTTTACAGATTTCTACTTGCACATAAATAATATCGCCACTATAAAAAAAAATCGGGTAAGTGTGTTGTCGCTATGCTGTACAGTAGGTTACAAGTGGGTCATTGTATAATGGATTGTATTAAACTTGAATTCAATGATATAATATCATTGTATAAGAAAAACGATTCTGAGCGGACACGGTTTGTCAGTCTGGATATTTTATATTGTCATTAATTATTATATCATGTGAGTTGAATTGATATTATAATATTATGATTTTTTATTCGTTTCTATGGGAATAAACAAAGATTTAGAAATTAAAATCCCATTTTTAGAGGTTTTTCGTAATTTTCGGTGGTTTTTCCCACGGCAATAAATAACTATTGAGAAAATCGAAAAATGACCTCTCTAAAGTACCATCTTGATCCAATTTTCTAATAGATATTAAGGTACTATATGTTGAAATCGAAGCACTACTTCTGGTAGACATTTTGTATACAGGATATAAAAAAAAAAACACCATTGTAAAACCACTAGCTTCCTCGCTCTGCTCAGAATCTAAAAATAATAAAATGTAACAATAAAAACATATTTTATTTCAATTTTTAATATAATATATATACAACTAATTATTGGTTCTATTATAGTATTAATGAAAAACGAACAAATATGATATAAATCCAAAAACAGTTTCAAAATGAATATTTTTATACCTTATCATAATGATATAATCTTCAGTAAAAATATAATCTAAGCGATTCATTAATTCTTTATAAATACGGCTCGTCAGCTAAACGTAACGTGTTTCAATATATATATATTATCACATAAATTCTTAAAAAGAAGGATAAAAATAAATAAATCCTTAAAATGCAACAGGTTAAAATTGTTTTTTTACAAATACTGGGATAAAAACCCCTCCTATTAGCGAATTCATTAAACTTGATTGAAACAAATCATAAAACTATAATACCTTGGGATGCACGAAGACGACTCGCTTGGGTAAGACACGTCAAAACAAAAACAAAAGCACTACATCATAGACCATAAAACTATATCAACAACTAAAAACTTTAACAACAAAAATGAAATAAATAATTGCTTATAG